CTCTCTCTCTCTCTCTCTCTCTCTCTCTCTCTCTCTCTCTTTCTCTCTCTCTCTCTCTCTCTCTCTCTCTCTCTCTCTCTCTCTCTCTCTCTCGCACACACCCACCGACAGTTGTGTCTAGTGCGCTCATTTGCTGTTTGCTTCGGACTCCCTCTCCCCTGTCATCTCGGATGCATCCGAACTTGGCTTACTCTCACCTAACGAAAACCTTGCAACTCTTGTACAACTACACTTGTGGTTTTCGCGTGTTCCTCGAACATGCGTCTCCTCTGCCACGTCGACATGGAAAGAAAATTCAGTGCGATCATCCACACTCTCTTTGTCTCTCTCTGTGTCTCTGTCTATGTCCCTGTCTCTGTCTCTGTCTCCCTCTCCATCTCTGTGACGCGCTCTTTCTATCTCTGCCACCGCTGTCCAGGTCGTAGCAAAGCGACTCACAGCCGAGACACTCCGAATGGATCAGAAATGTGGTGGATGATGGTACAATGTTTGTCTCTCTCTCTCTCTCTCTATCTCTTAGTTTCGCAAAAAATACTTCTTGAAATGTGTCCCAAAAAGCACAAGGCAAGCTTCAAACTGAAGGGTCTATACTAGTTCGACACTTCGGATACGTCCGTAATACGAAATGCTATGGGTGACTATACGGTGCTTGTCTTTTCCATCTCTCAGCCCTCTGGCGTGCTAATATGCCATTTCTTGCGGGCTTCCTCTCTGTCAATCTCTTGTGATCTCGGATATATCCGAACTTCGCTTATCTGGGAAAATCATATTGCCTTGCTGCTCTTCTGCAACGATCGTTTGAAATGCTTTTAAAAGCGAGGCTGATGATCTCTGCGTGTGCTCGACCCTGCGCCGTCCGTGCGGCGTCTCGAGAAAATTAAGTACAGTCTCTCTGAGACACTCTGTCTTTCGCTTTTTCTGTCTCTCTCTCTCTCTTTCTATATCTCTCGCTCTTCAAATGTACACGACCATTTCTTGCGGACTTTCTTTGTCTGTCTATCTCCTATGATCTCGGATACATCCGAGCTTCGCTTATCTTGGAAATTCACATTACCTTGCTGCTCTCCTACAACGATCGTCTGAAATGCTTTAAGAAACGAGGCAGAGGATCTACGCGTGTGCTCGACCCTGCGCCTCCTGAAAATTAAGTACAGTCTCTCTAAGACTCTCTGTCTCTCGCTCTTTCCGTCTCTCTTTCGCTCACTCTTTCTGTATGTCTCTCTCTTTCTATCTCTCTCGCTCTACACATGTACACGATCATCGGTGCAGAACTCCAATTCATTCTGGTCCTCACACTTCTAAATACAGGTCATCCTTCTCCTCTAAGTCTGTGAAGAGCCACAACTCGTTTTACTCACAAACTCGAGTTTGTGTCATTATACTGTTTAGATTCGGATGAGTGGGATGCTCAACCCCAAGTGAAACTATGACAGAGTGTAATATATTACTCTGTTCTGGTGTTCCATATCTGGACACAGGAGATATATATACTGAGGCAGCAATACATATAACACAGTGGTAGCAGATATATGTAGTGACTTAGAGGCGTATAACATAGTGTATAGTCTGCTGTGGTGTTCCACATCTGGACACATCCGAACCACGAGAGGAGCGTAGAAGATATATGTACCGAGTGTGCTCCTCGCCTCCAAGCTGATTTTACTCCTTGTTCGGATGTATCCGGATCTGGAATACTACACCAGACTATACACTGTGTCATAAATTTGTTATAAAATAGTACACACAATAATGTACTGTTTTAACGAATAACATGTTCTTTGTGGTCGACGACAAGAACCTCGTCTCCCACACCTGCAATGGACGTCTCACCATACCTTCTACGCCTGGACACAACGTCCATCGTAGATTTCCCCTACCGACCAGTAGCCTCCTCTTCTCGACCCAACCAGTCATCAGCACAGCCGAATCCGGTCCCGAACCTCGATAATGGGCGGAAGGAGTGCCCGTAGAAGGTGCACCCCGCAGCACCGGGGTTCGGTGGCCCTTAGACCCCGGTGTGTCGCCAGCCCCCACGCCAGCCGTAGGTGTCCCCTTCAGTTTTTTCGGAGACTGCTCCATGCTCCCGGAACCAGTACTAGTACGTCGTTTGCTTGGCTTCCCCTCGCGATCCATGTCGAGCAGCTAGTCGCAACTGAAGAAAATGGACAAGCGAGAAATTAGTCATTGCTTTGCCAACGTGCAAACACCACAGCACTTGAGAACAAGAATAAACAGGAACACAGAGCAACGGAAGTGGGCCGCAGCCCGCCAGCTCATCGTTGTTTCACTGTCGTGTCGAACTCGACGGCCGTGCCACAACGTCTTCCAGTACCGTCGCATTCGACACGAGAGCGACATTGCGGTGTCGTCGTGTCACTGTCGTGTCGAACCCGACGGCCGACCAACTCGTCGTCCTGCTCGACGTCGAGCTCGGCACTGCTCAGGCTGACCAACCGTCGTGTTGGACACGATAGCTACACTGTTGTCTGCCGTGTGACAGTCGACCAAGTGGCCCTTCATGCACCGTCTGGTCGCCTAATAACAGTGTCCATGTCGTGTTCGACACGATGGTCACCAAACGGTGCCTGAAGGGGAGCTGAGCGTCGTGTTCGACACGACAGCGACACTGTCATCTGCCGTTCGATAGTCGACCACGTGCCCCTTCGGGCACTGTCTGGCGACCATCGTGTCGAACACGACAGCGACATTAGGCGGTGTTGTGCGACATTTGTCGTGCTCGACACAATAGTCGGCGGACGGTGCCTAAAGGGGCACTTGATCACGAGAACACAAGACAACAGATCGCAGGCACTGGTTAACACGGAGAAACATTGAGTGCTAAATGTTAGTGCACGCAAAACATCAGAACAACGAGTTTTTTTTTCCGAAAGGAAACACAACATGAGAACAACAATCAAACACTCGGCTGACAGCGATGTGTCGGTGTCCACAACCAAACCAAAAACACGTGTCATCATTCCCGGGTTTCAATGAATCAAAAAACAATATGAGGACAACAAAGTCAAACGTGTGTACTTTTGGCCACTAAACACATGATGAGAACAACTAGCAAATACCGTGTATTGTTATCGAAATAACACATTTAGAACAACAATCGCAATGCGAATTCCACGAGGCTATCTATCGACTACGGGGAACAATCTCGCCATTGCGGCCCTTGCCGGCATTCCGTATGCCGTTTTGGCCATTCATTATGACGAAGACTATCTACCGACTACGAGGAACAATCCCGCCGTTGCGGCCATCAACACGATCCGAAGATCAGCTGCTGCGCCGTCTCAGCAAGCACCGAAATGTATGTCATTCACACGAACCCGGAGTTCCCGACGAGAGAAGCGCCTATAGCATCCCGAATTGAAACGACTTTAGCCTCGACCTCGCGCCATGCGACAACGTCCTCTACCTGGCCACCCACCACGATATCCACCCTCCCATCTACCCTTCTTTGAACTAAACACATATCCCTCCCGGACATAGACAACTCGTTCCTGGACACATACACGACAACATCGGTCAAGTTTCTTGCCCTGCTCGAAATGGCAATACAGAGGACCCTACAGAAGATAAAGTATGCCAGACGCAATCACACACAACAATACGAAACTGCTCCTGGCGACAGACCGAGAGATCGCAACGGATAATGATCAAGCAACTTAGAATGTCGCGCACAATCGAGTAACTCCTGTTTCATAACACGGCACCAGGTGCGAGGCGAGGTTGTTACGTATTCGCAGTCCAAAACCCCCACAACACGGCTTATTTTTAGCTTTTTACACAGTAGCGGCAAGCGCACGGGACGCAGCACATCGAACGGCACGAGAATGCGTTTGCCGAATTCGGACATATTCGCGAATTCATAATCGCACGCCCACAAGCATCTCTCCGTCATGTTCACCCACTCGCATTCCTCCCACGAGTCCAAATATTTGTCGCCAAACGGGAGGATTCTCATCCTAGGGTCGCATTCGAAGTCTTCTGGACAAGCGCCTTCATAGGTTACGCTGCCCTGACATTGTCGGACGTACAGCGCGCAAGGCGGGAAAGGGTGTGCCTTGTGTGCACGCCAAAGTGCTAGGGTCATATTAGAGATTTCCATAGCAACAGTGAAGAGAAGACGCCCTTCACGACACAAAAGCAACGGTCAACAGCAGCAATAGAACAACCAACACCAGCATAGAACTATTCACCCCGCTCCCCCCAACAATGGAAACAAACCAGGCCGCACGACAACACAATGCAAAGAATCTACGTGCGCAATCCACGCCCATAATTCCACGCCCACAACCCATGCACGATCTTCCAGGACACGACGCACCCGGCCCATAGCACTGCACACAGTCATGAATGAATCGATGACATTGCACCGCGCACAATCTTGTTCCACTAGAGGACAGGGAAGGATCGTGTTCGACTCGACGACAGGGCACTCGCCTATCGAGTTCAACTCGACGAACGCAATCGACGATCGTGTTTGACTTGACGATCGTGTTTGACTCGACGATCGTATCGGACTCGACGATCGTGTCCGACTCGACGATCGTGTTTGACTCGACGAACGCAATCGACGATCGTGTTCGACTCGACTATCGTGTTCGACTCGACTATCGTGTTCGACTCGACGATCGTGTCCGACTCGACGATCGTGTCCAACTCGACGATCCTGTTCGATTCAACGATCGTGTTCTACTCTACTATCGTGTTCGACTCGACGAACGCAATCGACAATCGTGTTCGACTCGACTATCGTGTTTGACTCGACGAACGCAATCGACAATCGTGTTCGACTCGACTATCATGTTCGACTCGACGATCGTGTTGGACTCGACGATCGTGTTCGACTCGACGATCGTGTCCGACTCGACGTGTTCGACTCGCCAATCGTGTTCGGCTCGACGAACGCAATCGACGATCATGTTCGACTCGACTATCGTGTTCGACTCAACAATCGTATCCGACTCGACGATCGTGTTCGACTCGACGATCGTTGTTCGACTCGACTATCGTGTTCGACTATTCGATAGTGTTCGACTCCTCGATAGTGTTCCACTCGACGATCGGTCACTGTCGTGTTCGACTCGACGATTGGTCACTGTCGTGTTCGACTCGACGATCGGGCAGTGTCGTGTTCGACTCAACTATCGTGTTCGACTCGACGATCGTAGTGTCGTGTTCGACTCAATTATCGTGTTCGACTCAACGACCGGGCAGTATCGTGTTCGACTCGACGATTGGGCAGTGTCGTGTTCGACTCGACAATCGGGCAGTGTCGTGTTCGACTCGACTATCGTGTTTGACTCGACGATCGGGCAGTATCGTGTTCGACTCGACGATCGTATTCGAGTCGACGATCGGGCACGATCGTGTTCGACTTGACGATCGTGTTCGACTCGACGAGCGTGTTCGACTCGACGAGCGTGTTCGACTCGACAATTAGACATCGGGCGCGATCGTGTTCGACTCGATTGTCGGGCACTGTCGTGTTCGACTCGACGATCGGGCACGATCATGTTCGACACGACGATCGGACACGATCGTGTTGGACTCGACGATCGGGCGCGATCGTGTTCGACTGGACGATCTGGCACGATCGTGTTCGACTCGACGACTGGAAGTGTCACGTGGCGTTACGTGGTTGCATCTGGGCTGCGTGGTTGTGTCCTCACCGTCCGATCCTTCAAACTCGTGGTGCTCCGCTGTGGTTGTGCGTCGCGATCTTGGGCCGTATGCTCGCTCCGTCGTCGCGCTGAACACGCCTTTCGACAACGATGTGGTCCGCCGTCGCGTCGAGCAGGTGGTCTGCTATGCACAAACCGAATCCCTGCGCTCCATTGCCGCGCTGTACACAAGCCTCCACTGCGCTGCGCTGTGGCACGAGCCTTCGCTGCGCTGAGCTACTGCTGCGTTGCCGAACTGAAACGAAAATGGGAACTGGTGGCCCTCCCTCATATATATAGTTTTTCGCGAGGGCCCTTCGCGGGCACTTGCTCGACGTCCGGTCAGAGGATACTGACGGTCGCAATGTTCCAATGGGAAGTGGTGGGCCTGCCTCATATATGTGGTTTTCCGGGTGGGCCCTCCGCGCGCGCCTGCAGGCCGTCCGATCCGGGAATACGGACGGTCGGGACGATCCAATGACTGCAGTCGGTCGTGATCGTTTTCCCCCCTTGGCTAGAGTGGAGGCGCGGGGATGACGTTCAGCTGCAGAGCAGAAATGCGATTCTCGCACATGAGTACACGCGACATTGTGTCATTGTTCGCATTCTGGGAGAATCAGCGCAGAGGTCCGCCAACGTCGACACAACAACTTCCCCGCTTTCCAGGGGAGTGCCGCTTCGGCCAACACACCCGCCCCCTCCCCCGCGAGAGCAAGAGAAAAGCCTCTGTGGACGGTCGTGTCCAGTGCTGGTTTATCAGTGACGTCAACAAGTTTTCTCGAACACTTTCACCGCAGTCGTCGTCGTGTCGAACACGATGGTCGTCGTGTTGAACACGATCGTTGTCGTATCTGACACGCTGGTCGTCGTGTCAAACACGATGGTCGTCGTGTTGAACACGATCGTTGTCGTGTCCGACGCGCTGGTCGTCGTGTCAAACACGATGGTCGTCGTGTTGAACACGATCGTTGTCGTGTCCGACACGCTGGTCGTCGTGTCCGACACGGTCGTCGTGTCGAACATGATGGTCGTCGTGTTGAACACGATCCTTGTCGTGTCGAACACGCTGGTTGTCGTGTCGAACACGATCGTCGTCGGGTCGAACACGATCGCCATCGTGTCGAACACGGCCGTCGTCGTGTCGAACACGCTCGTCGTCGTGTCCGGCTCGTTGTCGTGCACGGCCGTCGTCGTGACCGACGTTGTGCCGAACACGGCCGTCGTCGTGTCGAACACGGCCGCCATCGTATCGAGCACGGCCGTCTTCACGTCCGACACGATCGTCGACGATGGTCGTCGTGTCCGGCACGATGGTCGTCGGGTCGGACACGGTGGTCGTCGTGCCGAGCACGGTGGTTGTCGTGTCCGCCACGGTCAAACGTGGTCTTGGTCGTGTCGAACGCCATCACGGTCGTGTCGAACACCCTGCTCTTTTTCGCCACGACCCCCACCTACGTTTCGACTTGCGTAAAGTTTAGTGCGAATTGCGCCAGCAGAACATAGTGCCCGGGTGATTGTCTGTTGTGTCTTGTAGCACTGACTGCTTGTTGCGAGATTGCGCCACGACCCCCATCTTGTAATATACAATGGAGCTCCTGTCGTGTTGGGAGCGACATTGGCGTTGCCGCAGTCGTTTGACTTCTCAGCCTGGGTATTTGGAAACCCGTCGTGCGCCGTAGAATGAACTCAGCGCGAATTTTGTTTTGAATCCTCGGAGTCTGGTACCCGGGAATCAAGACAGGGGACCCTTCCGTGTTGGGCGAGGCGGTCGCGTTGCCACGATGGTTTTCCTGATCACTCGTGGTAGTTTTCTTGCCCGCTCTTCGTGGGTGGTG